TGTTGGTTGTCATTCGTCAGAAACGGGTTTCACTTAGTGATTTAGACGTAAATTAGTAACCAAAATGCTATAATTTTAAAACTTTTGTGTGAGGGAACTTTAAAAACGCACAATAAAAGGATTAATAGAGAATATTGTTGTTGGTTATGAAAGTTTAGTGTTTATTCTCGTTTGCAATACAATGACGACTTTCAGGGTTTAATGATCACAAGAACCGTATCATATTTGTAATATATTCCACCTTGCAAAGATTTTTGCAACATGCAGAGAATAACAGTTTATCGGTTCCTTGCAATTAGTAAAGTTCTGAGAACAAATCAACAAGGCCCGTGATGAGGGTTCGAACCTACGTCTGAGAGGATCCCAGACACTGCCGTAATCGACTAGGCCACGACATCGTTAAAAAAATTGCAACCGGGAATTTCACTGCCCTCACTCTGAGGTTTCCTTAACTACTTCGGTGAGTTTTACCGTCATAAAAATAAATTCACACGCTGTATGAGAGACCGTAACTACAGCGTCAAAATTTAGGTGATTTGGAAAATACAAAAGCACGCTAATGCTGACGCTCTTCAGGACTAATGAGGATCGTATGTTGACCAAACCACATACTAGAAAGTGAACAGACGACGACGTTTCGCTCCGTCCTGGACCATTTTCAAGAGGATCGTATATCATTAGTTAAGCGGGTTGCTTAGGATCGAGCGCTTTTGGTTAGGGAAAAACCACTTGAAATTTGAGGCTTGTTGAGTGGTGTTGACAGGCTGACAATAAACGTTTGTGTCATTGCCAAGCGCGTTAAAGTCACCGTTCCCGTCACTGAGCACGGAAAATGACAGGTCTGTTGCGTTATTGTACGGCCGAAGTAGCACGAGATATTCCGTGCATTGACGAAAAGTTGGCTCCTAACTATTTACAAACTGTAAATCTGCTGCTACGGATTGAGGAAACAGTGTGTTTCTACAACCATTTGGGCTGGACGGTCTTGCTTCATGCAGGTCGGCGTTCAATACCCAACCGTCCAAGTGGTTGGACATCATTCCTTTCCCCCCCTCCGTCCCATCCCAAATCCTTATCCTGACCCCTTCCAAGTGCTATATAGTCGTAATGGCTTGGCGCTTTGCTCCTGATAGTTTATCATTCGTCAATTCTAACAACTTCTTACCAGCGAGAGAGAAGCCAGAGGTGTAGTACGAACGTTCTATCAAAGAAGTAACTGTCTCGCGTGTGTTCGTTCGCATGGCCTTCCTGGCTTATCATCCCACTTGGTGTATGTATAAAGTAAAGGATGTGTGACTTTCCAGGCAACTTACAGCCCCGCTCCTGTGCCAGGGCTCACCATAGCCCGTGCTACTTGGAACTTTTGGGTCTTAGTAACTGAATGTAAAACAACAACAACAACAGACTTTCTAGGATATTGGTCATACAAAATTGTTTATAGTTTGTTCTTATAACGCTGGACACTTGATGAGGTTGTGAGTTCACTGTGTGACCTGTCGTGGCCGGCGTTCTGTGCCACTGTGAACGCACACAGTAACACAGGAGTTTGTGTTTGCAAAGAAGAAGCGTTTTAAAACGTTAAAACGCTTCGTATATTGGCGTCGTGTTTACTAGCCATGACCTCTTGCTGCTTGGGCTGAACTCCGGTAACTCGAGCATAATGTTAGGGGTTTCATAGCCATTTATTGCCTGCCTTGCTGTTTTTATAGCGCAGTTTGATATCATTATTACCTCTTCATCCAGTCAAAACTGCAGAAGAAACTCATTTTAGGATAATATGTATATAATGACGGAATTACTCGATCATATTTATAATCTGCTGGTGGAACCTTAGGCCATTCCCAGGTGTGTGTGTGTGTATTTACTATTTGTATCTGCAGAATAGAGCTATTAGCTCTTGGACCCGACTTTCTAACCAATTTATTTTTCCTCTATTATGTCTACTACATATATTTATCTTACACACTCACGCGCGCACACATCTCCAGGAAGCAGCCCGTAGCAGCTGTCTAACTTCTAGGTACCTATTTACTGCTAGGTGAACAGGCTATCAGGGTGAAAGAAACACTGTACATTTGTGTCTGCCTCGGGCAGGAATCGAACCCGGACCCTTGTGACTACGACCCCCGAGCGCTGTCCACTAAGCCGCGAGGCCCCTAGGTGTGTAATTACCTAAGTGTAGTTACAGGATGAGAGCTACGTTCGTGGTGTCCCGTCTTTCCAGCACTCTGTCTTATAACGCTTTGAAACTACTGTGTGTGTGTGTGTGGTGTACTTGCCTATCAGTGTCTCCTGAAGAGTGAGATCTAGCTCTTTATTCCCCGTCATCTAGCCTTTTACCTGTTGCGTTTCAACTTAACCACTCTTACGCATTCAACTCTTAAGTCCCTCTTGACTAATACATGACACCTTATACACATCTCTAAGGTTTTGAGTATATAGTATGCGGTGTGAGGCAGGAGGTACGAGGAATAAAGTGTGTGATATAGGCCCCGGTATATGTGGTGGGCAGAAAAGAGATGATAGTGGAGATGACCTCCTGTGTTTCACAAGTGTAATATACGACTCTCACGGGTCACGGTGAATCCAACACGACCGTTCCTTTGATCTTTACTTAGCAGCAAAAAACGTAATCATCTCGATGCAATGAATCTGTAAAAAATAGTTTAATTAGAGCGTAGGTTTGGTAGTGGACCATTATTATGCCTTTTGCGTTACGCTGTGTGTTGCATGTTAGCCTTTAGAGTCAAAACTGTCTTGTGTGTTTGCCAGCAGACATATTTATTGACGTCTCGTCCTCGTATGCCCTTCACCAGAAATATCTCAGTTGCGTGTAATTAGTAGCAGGCATCCATCAGTCAGAGGAGACTATGGAGTTGCGCTCTGGCTGTCTAAATGGAGTGGCCTCTCCAAGGCACAAAGCTAGGGTAGATTGATATGGAGAAGCTGTTACCCATGCAGCAGGTCTCCCCTCTCCACGGCGCCGAAAGTCTCCAATGGAAAGGCAAACGCCAATACAATTGGTTCCAGTGCCGTCGCAGGAACTGTCAGAACTATAGCTTGATTAAATAAACAAATACTGTACTTACTTAGTAATGACTGTAATCTGATCCTCATTATCTTTTATAATAATTATTATTGTATAATACGTAATAACGTTTCAGTCCCTTGGATCGTCAAAGTTTTGATCTCGTGCCTGACAAATACGGCACAGTCACCAGTAGTAGTAGTAGTAGTAGTAGTAGGCATCCATCAGTCTCAGACTATGGAGTTGCGCTCTGGTTGTCGCTCTGGTTGTCGGAACAGTCACCAATAGATAGCAATAGACCTCAAATCTATTCTAGCTCTGGGAGTGTTTAGAGGCTGGTATATCAAGTGGTGGTTTGATTTGCAAGATATTTCTTAAGTTTTGCGAAGGCTGGAAGATCTGCTGGACGGTCACATCAAGGATCCATCGGTTTTGTAAGACACGTTTCTGTAGTGACACTGTGTCTCATTGCTCGGCTTTCCTCAACAACAGGTGATGGGTAGACAATGTTGATGTGAAGCTTCATGAGGTATCACAGTGGGTGCCAACTTTTTCACCCACCGTGTATTCATATTGACTTTCCCCTCGAATCCCAGGTCTTTGAAAGGTCTGTCAACTCAGGTGTGGAAACTCGTTTTTCCCAGTTTCGTCTCTCAGTTGAAAGATATATGTAACAAGAGTGTGCAATTAAATAAATAGCATGATTAACAAAACTTGTTAAATGACAATGTTGATATTGCTTTCTTGATACTAAGTTTCGAATTTCAGGTTCAATGACGGACAGTTTTAAGCGGAGGTGAGGTTCCACATTCATCCTTTTCTTGCATTTATATTATACAGCTGGGAGAGTCCACCCACATAAATAAGTAGTTGGGAATGGCATTAAATATCTCGGTGGAAGGATTCGACGAGTTGTACTAAATGAACTTTACATAAGTGAGGTGACTAAAAATACTTGTTTTTATTTCATTTGCACATTAGTCTTTTACATTTGTTTACTTCCAAATGAAATGGCTATCTTATCTACTTGTTGTTATCAGGAGTTGATAATATTATAGCCAAGAACGAAGACACGATAAATGTTGATTATGTTCAGTCTTCTGTCGAGTAATCACACATTTTACGCTGGAACATCTCAGAAATATTGAGCTTAAGCTTCCGGATCCCCTGTAATACCTTCATGGACCACCAGGCTCCAGAGACCTCCCCCCCCCCACCCTCCCTAAGTTTGTGAACCCCTGGTTTAGTGGGGCCAGTATCATCTTGGAGTGAACAGAACAGGGAACGTTTGAACAAAGGGCCCTGATGAGGGTTCGAACTTACGGCCGGGATGATCCCAGACGCGTAGGAAACGTTTCTCTGCCACCTTTGTGGGAACATCGTTTGTAAAACAGGAGTTGCCGTGTTGAAGACAAACAAGTCTTCCAGAACCAATAAAAGGAGGTTTAAGAAGCATAAACTCTTCGTAGAAGCAGTTAGGCACTATCATCAATGAGAACATTCGGGTTGGAGTATAATGATTCATGGTGACACAATCCTCATCAATCAGACGTAATATTCTTATATGTTAGTAGCAAGTTAATTTTAGCAGATCTTAGACCTTCCTTGATTGGATCTTATCGTGTTCCAGAAATTGTTTTGAAGCAGTATTTCATGTCGGTTATCATTATTTCACTCCCCGCTATCCTCACACTCTGACTAGCCGCTGCTATCTTCACACACTCCCTGCTATCCTCACACACTCGCCGCTTCCTCACACACTCATTTAGATTTAGATTATTTATTCAGGTAAAGCTACATACATTGAAGACGAGTTACAAACATAATGTTGGAATTTAAAGATAGATTTAGTACATACAATACCTAAAGCCACTAGTACGCATAGCGTTTCGGGCAAGAAACATTTTGTATATCCACCTTCTTCGAGACTTTGCGCAAGAGATCTGTCTCTTCACCATGACCCGGTCCTCAGACTGGAGTACGAGCGTTGGGACGGATGGAGTGACGCCAGCCGCAGGACGCAGACGGCGGCGATGACGGAGGTGCTGACGGGGCTGGAGGCGGCCACCAACTACAGCGTGCGGGTGCGGGCGTACACGGGCGTGGGCGACGGGCCCTGGTCGCCGCCCACACTCTGTACCACCGAGGAAGACGGTATGTAACCCCTCTTCTCTGTCCAGGCTTGTGATTACGTGTGACGGTATGTGATGTTCTTTTTGGTGGGAGTCAGTTGTTTGTGGTGAGAGGCACTTGTTTGTGGGTGAGAGGCAGTTGTTTGAGGTGGGTGGTGAGAGGTAGTTGTTTGTGCTGGGAGGCAGTTGTTTGGTGGTGAGAGGCACTTGATGTGCTGGGAGGCAGTTGTTTGTGCTGGGAGGCAGTTGTTTGTGCTGGGAGGCAGTTGTTTGTGCTGGGAGGCAGTTGTTTGTGCTGGGAGGCAGTTGTTTGTGCTGGGAGGCAGTTGTTTGTGCTGGGAGGCAGTTGTTTGTGGTGAGAGGCAGTTGTTTAACATGGGAGAGAGAGAGAGAGAGAGAGAGAGAGAGAGAGAGAGAGAGAGAGAGAGAGAGAGAGAGAGAGAGAGAGAGAGAGAGAGAGAGAGAAAGAAAGAGGAGGGACTGAGTGAGCAGAGAGAGATGTAAACATGTGTTAAGAGACAGCAGTTATTGCTCTGTCAAACATGACAGAATTGATGGCATGTTCCGTACAGTTCCCGGACGACCTGGAAGCGTTCGAGGCGTGGTGTCGGGCCCCGGAGCCTTCATCGTGTCCTGGGCGCCGCCGGCCAGGCCAGGGGGACGCATCGTGTCGTACGCCGTGACCTGGCGCGTGGTGGAGACGCGCATGGGCGGAGGGCGTGGGCGTGAGGGCGTAGTGACCGTGGCGGGCACCGTCACCTGGGTGCAGGTGAGTAAAGTCACTTTTACTCCTATCTCATGAGGTGAGTTTACACATGGTTGATGAATACATTCGTGGTTTATGTATACATTCGTGGTTTATGTATACATTCGTGGTTTATGTATACATTCGTGGTTTATGTATACATTCGTGGTTTATGTATACATTCGTGGTTTATGTATACATTCGTGGTTTATGTATACATTCGTGGTTTATGTATACATTCGTGGTTTATGTATACATTCGTGGTTTATGTATACATTCGTGGTTTATGTATACATTCGTGGTTTATGTATACATTCGTGGTTTATGTATACATTCGTGGTTTATGTATACATTCGTGGTTGTTATTCACTTAAATTATTGCTTCAAACTAATATTATTTTTGAGACGAAACAATATTTTTTGAGCGTGAGGTTGTGCAGTGTGAGGTTGTGAGGTTGTGCAGCGTGAGGTTGTGCAGCGTGAGGTTGTGCAGCGTGAGGTTGTGCAGCGTGAGGTTGTGCAGCGTGAGGTTGTGCAGCGTGAGGTTGTGCAGCGTGAGGTTGTGCAGCGTGAGGTTGTGCAGTAATACATTGTTGTTCCTGGCGCAGGTTGACAACGTATTGGGGAGCCTGGTGGAGGTGGAGGTGGTGGCGGCGACACGGGTGGGTGAGGGGCCTCCAGGAGCGGCCCGGGTCACCCTCACCAACACCGTGCCTGCTGCTATATACTCCACCTCCGCCTTCGTCAGGGCGGAGCGTGGCCGTGACGTGACGCTGCCGTGTGGCCACGTGGGCCACCCGCGGCCGCAGCTGGTGTGGACGTACCAGGGGCGGCAGGTGGGTGGGGAACGACGCCTGGTGAAGGGCGACGGTGGCCTGGTGGTGCAGGAGGCGCAGCGTCAGGACTCGGGCAACTACACGTGCACTGCCACTAACACGCACGGCGTCGACCACATCACGTACTCCCTCACAATCCTGGGTACGTGCACGAGATATTCTGGATACCCCGATGAGTCTCGAATTCTCTGCCTCATCCTTCATTCAGTTCCTCAGAAAACATGTTATCTAAGACTCCTTAATCTCCTGAACATTCATTCTCTCCAGTTCTCCATATAAGTAAAGTCGTTTCACCCTTTCTAGATCATCTTGTCCAGCTTTTTTCTATGAACCTTGTTCCTTAGCGTTTCCTCGGCCTCTAGTGGTTGCTTATCTACGTGACGAAACTCATTTAAGTAAACATCTCATGTTGTAAGAGATGTTTAGTAAGATCTAAACATCCTCCTTGTAAGACTCCAGCGTCTGTTATCTTAGTCGGTAATTTGATCCCTAAATCAATAACCTTATTTAATAAGCAATGTTTTCCCGGGTTCATATGGCTTGAAACTTTTTCAGTTTGTATCTATTGTTATAGTCTGTTTTGTACTGATATATTATACACGTCAATAATACGCCCTTTCATATGCCTTTTCAGCTATTTGCATACCTCAGTCATATCATTCCTTACTCTTCACCATTCTTTAGAGAAGAATAACAATGTTTTGGCCATCTCTCTTTATAAAGTTTAACATTATTTTCAGGTTCAAGAGATTTTTGAACTTGAAGTAACACTTTTTCTGTCACTTGGTCACTAAACAAGTTTCACATTCGCTCTTGTCTTCACCGAAGATACTGATGCACTTCGGAGGAAAATTCGGCTGATTATAGAGGATCTTGAACCTCATATCTAATCTTCAACCCTTAGTCTCACACTGTTCAAATGTTCCCCTTCCCTTCTACTGCCATCTCTCAGACCTGTGAAACAGCCATCAACCTCGTATCTCTTCCCACACACACACACACACACACACACACACACACACACACACACACACACACACACACACACACACACACACACACACACCTTTGACCTGCTCTCTTGCAAAAGCAAGCAACTTCGCTGTTGTTGCAAGCTATTGAAAAATCAAACCTTGCATGATGTGTGTGTTTCTCGTCAGTGCCGCCGTCATCCCCGCTGGTGTTGGCATCGTCGTCGTCGGAGCGGAGTGTCCAGGTCCAGTGGAAACAGGGCGACACTGGGGGCGCCCCCGTCACCGGCTACACACTCTACTACAGGAAGGACCACGGCGCCTGGACCCAGCTCAACGTTCACCGACACGCCCACTCACACGCCCTCCAGGTAAGGCAGACATCCCAGCCACCATGCCCGCTCACACGCCCTCCAGGTAAGGCAGACATCTCAGCCACCATGCCCGCTCACACGCCCTCCAGGTAAGGCAGACATCTCAGCCACCATGCCCGCTCACACGCCCTCCAGGTAAGGCAGACATCCCAGCCACCATGCCCGCTCACACGCCCTCCAGGTGATATTTGTAGAAAATAGTCTCCACGTATTTCAGTTTCCGTTATATTTGTTTGTTTTACACGCAAGCCCCGTCCGTTGGTAGACGCGCGTCTCGTCCGTTAGTAGACGCGCGTCTCGTCCATTGGTAGACGTACGACCTCGTCCGTTCGTGTTGGTCTAAACTGAACGCGGCGATATCTACCTATCATGATCTTCACACGTAATTCCAGTTTAGCCTGCAACGCTAAATTTTAACAGGATGCATTATAGGACCTCGCTTCTAACCCTATTACAGTCTCAAACCCAGGATTTAAGGACCGACACCTCTGGCAAATTTCAAAACCTTATAGACCTTAACATCTATAGTTTTTCATTCCCCCATAAATATTATATACTGGTTTTACGCCTCCTTGTGATGATTGCTTGCATGAAAGCAATTTTTACCACGACACATGTGTATATATCGCCTTTTTATTTCATCTGACTTTGCGCCCTGGAGAAGGCAGTCCAGACAGACATCCAGAGCGCAACTCCATAGTCTCCTGTGACTGATGGATGCCTGCTATGTGCATTGGGAGTGTTCTACCGCCTCACAGTACAGAGTTACGATGATATACCATCTTCATCTTCCCTACCCTTCTCCTCTACGTCTGTTAATTCTTCCTGAAGGTGCAACACCTTCAGGATATGCCTCTTCTGAATCGCCTTGACAGGTGCTGATGGATCTCCTCCACACATAGGTCACCATGTTAAATGATAGTAATATATTATAAACTGCCTTCATACTTTTTCGCAGAACAGACTTTAACAAATTATATTTCAGTTAGAATTTTCGTAATGCTGAGTTCTATATAGGCGTCTATCCAATTACAACAAATGTTCGTAAATTAATTTGAAAGTTTATATGGTATTTTCCCCTTATATTTTGGATCGTGGGAATTAGTTGTCAATCAGGCGTTCAAATGCAGAACATTCGTGTACATGCAATTTGTTCCATGACGCAAAACATTACTTCAGCTTCAGATCTGCTCGTGTGTGTGTGTGTGTGTGTGTGTGTACTCACCTAATTGTGCTTGCGGGGGTTGAGCTCTGGCTCTTTGGTCCCGCCTCTCAACCGTTAATCAACTGACGGACAGATCCCTGAGCTACTGGGCTCTATCATATTTACATTTGAAACTCTATATGAAGTCAGCCTCCACCACATCACTGCCTAATGCATTCCACTTCCACTTGCATTCCACTGTGTGTGTGTGTATATACTTACCTATTTGTGCCTGTAGGATCGAGTTCTAGTTCTTGGACTCCGGTTTTTCATACGCCTGTCGCCTATTGCAATGATTTTTGGCCTATTTCTCCATCATGTCTACCTTTAAAATTGTGAATGAAGTCTGCCTCTACAACCTGCTCCTTTAGTTAATTCCATTTCCCCCACTATTTTTGCGCTAGATGAAAACTTTCTAACATCTCTACGACTCAACCGAGTCTCAAGCTTCCATCCATGTTCTCTTGTACTATTCGTACTCATTGTGAGCATTTTCTCTTTTTACTGATATTCCCCATAAGTATTGTATACGTCTCAATCATGTCTTAGCCTCTTTCCTCTTTTTAGCATCGTCTGGTTTAGTTCCTTCAGTTTCTCTTCACACTACATCTCCTCTGGGACGAGCATTCTTGCAAACTAATGAACCTTTCCGAGTTCCCTTCGAAGCTTCGGTGCTCATTAACTGTTTAATAATTGTAAACAAAGCCGCCAAAGATTGAGAAAAGATGTACAGGTTCATAAGTGCTTGAGTAACTGCTTCGTGAATCTGGCCTCTGGGCAGCCAAACAGTCCTATCCTGACTAAATAACCAACCGCCCATTGCCTCGAGTCAATTTGCCACATCTATAACCACCTCCACACGTTTCATAAACTACTTCCTCTAGCAGTACATTGAAAGGGAGACTATCTAAACTGTACACAATAATCTGAGTACACCACCACTACCCCCCCCCCCCCCCAAGCCACTCGCCAACCAAAACAATCTGGTGGTCCAGGACGGACCGAAACGTCGCCGTTTCTGCCTTTTCTGATGTGTTGCATGATCATGGCAACTCTCTAACTCTACTTGTCAATTCGATAATAAAGTTTGATATCAGTCATTTGCCATTTTAGAAGTAAAATAATTGGTAAGTTACAAAGTCAAATAATAACTAAGTTACAAGATCTCGTGCAAGGTACGGTCTTTCGTGCAGGGTACGGCCTCTCGTGCAGGGTACGGCCTCTCGTGCCTCGTACAGTCCCTCGGACATAATATCAAGAGCCATAACGTTAAAGCTGAAATGCGATGGACTGGACCAAAGGCCAGGGACAGCAGTCGCTAGTGAACGAGAGGGAAAGAGAGAGAGAGAGAATAAGAGAGAGAGAGAATAAGAGAGAGAGAGAATAAGAGAGAGAGAGAATAAGAGAGAGAGAGAATAAGAGAGAGAGAGAATAAGAGAGAGAGAGAATAAGAGAGAGAGAGAATAAGAGAGAGAGAGAGAATAAGAGAGAGAGAGAGAATAAGAGAGAGAGAGAGAATAAGAGAGAGAGAGAATAAGAGAGAGAGAGAATAAGAGAGAGAGAGAATAAGAGAGAGAGAGAATAAGAGAGAGAGAGAATAAGAGAGAGAGACCGGGAGAAATTAAAATAACCTCAGATAAAGACCAATCAAAATTGGCCTAAATAGAAATAACAAAGAAACCAATTAGTAAATTCTCCGTTAAAGGAATGTTGGGATACAGGAGCAGGAGGAATGTAATTCAATCACACAGTCGAAGAACCTTTCACGATGGAGGTAAGTCATTTCTACATCTTCAGTGAAATGTGGAAATACTGCGTTGATGAAGGATATGGCTCGGGAGGCCTAGATTTTCAAAGGGACTGTGCGGAACGCTACGAAGATAGCCATGACATGTCTACGACCATCATCTGGAGCCCACACAGCTACGATCTACAGTCAACACCTAAGATCTACAACCAACAGCTAAGATTTACAACCAATATCTATAACAACCGGCTACAACAAACCGCTGCAGCAACATAATTTGTGCAAAATTTTGTCTTAAAGCCCCAAATTTTTTAAAAATAAATTCATTTAAAAATAAGACAAAAATTAACACAGTTCAAAAAGTTGGAAACAAAGTTGCAAACAGTTCAAAAAAAGGTTGTGTAAGTAGAAGGCAGAATGCTAGTGATGGTCAGAGTACTAGCAGAAGGATATTATGCTAGAAGAGCAGTGAATTTGCAGGATGGCAATATACTAGGAAATGAACACTGTACTAGCAGTAGATAGCAACTAGGTTTAGAAGAGTTTGCAGGAGAGGTACAAAGAATACTGGTTCGACTCCTCCATATACGCCAAATTACACTCCATCATCAACTTCAGTATTAAAGTTCAACCCTTAACAATTGGAACTACATTAAAAAAATGTGACTTTGAGTACCTGACATATGTAAAAAGATCACTTTTGCCACATTGCATATAAAGTGTACGAGGCATAAAACATATCTTTCCATACTGCCGTGAGCTAGTAATCATATTTTGACCTCGGGGAAATCTCTCTCGGGAATCATCCTGCACGTCCAATTTGGTGGTGGCTGGGCCTGGTATTCACATCTCATATTCCCAGTCTGGTGCTCGTTTGCTGCCATTCAGTCCTCATCTTCTCCGCCACCAGCCCGGTCCTTCCCTTGCTACGTGCTGCCTTTCTCCTGGTTTGGAATCAAAGCCCCTGGCTGCCTACCTCCCGGCTTGGTCTCACTAAAGCCCCCTGCCATCTCCAGGCGAAATGTTCAACATTCGCCTTTTCCATTTCTCTGTGTGGGTTTTCTGCATAATATATATTATTAGTCTTGTGTGTGTCTATAGTTTGAGGCTAGACACCTGAGGGGTAGCTTCTACCAATTTTTCCTAGTAATTGCTGGTGGGAACGTGTACAACATGGGTGGGACCGGAGTGCCATTATGAGGATAGCCGCACTATCCTCGCAATGATTTTCCAATATCTTACTAACTGGCCCCAAAATAATTTTTTCTTGATTTTTTTTTACTTTTATATATTGTAAAGCAAAATCACAGATATCCACACAATTTAAACAATCTTAGCTATCATACTTTGCCTGTAATTAACTGTAAAATGTAAGAAGTACTGATTGGGTAGTTAATTTATTTATTAATTATAAATAATAATACCTCCCTCCCACCCCCCCCCCTTCTCTCTCTCCCTTTGGGAGAGAGAGAAGGGGGGAGGGAGGGAGGTGGGGGGGGGGGAGGGAGGTAGGTAAGTGGTCAAGCAGTGAATGTTTTCGATTCTCAGATGTTGGTCCTGGGTTTGTATCCCGGCGGGAGCGGAAACAAATTGGCAGGGTTTCCTTTCACCTCGTACACCTATTCACCTAGCAGTAAATACGTACCTGAGAGTGTGGTCTTCCTAGGGGGGGGTGCATCCTAGGAGTAGTCGGTAATTGGCCAAAATAAATGTCCTGCCCTGTTCACCCAGCAGCAATTGGAAAACTGGAAGTCAAGCTGATTAGGATTTCCTAACCTGTTGCTAGTTCCTTCCTCCATGTTTCCAGCACTCTCCATCATTCCCTCCCTCACTCCATCCCTCCCTCGTTCTCTCCCTCCGGTCTTCACCATCCCTCCCTCTCCCTCCAGCTTTTCCCCCTAGTGTTCTCACCGCTTACTATCTCCTTTTAATTATTAAAACAGAGGTTGTCTCTAGTATTGCAGTGCCTCGACGGAATGTTGACAAAACGTGTTTCTAACACGGGTACATGGCACCTGTCTTTGTTGTTTTATTCGTGCTTGTGCGTCTGCAGGTGTGTTTGTGCGTCTGTTTGTGCGTCTGCTGGTGTGTTTGTGCGTGTGTTTGTGCGTCTGCTGGTGTGTTTGTGCGTGTGTTTGTGCGTCTGTTTGTGCGTCTGCTGGTGTGTTAAAATGCGTTTTCTAGTGTCTTTGTGCGTCTGCAAGTGTGTCGGTGCGTCTGGTAGTGTATTTTGTGAATGCTTGGGTGATTATGAATTTTCTAGCATGTTTGCTTATCTGATGAGGAGTTTGAGCGTTTGACGTTGTATTTGTGCGTCTGTTAGTGTGTGTTTATACGTCTGCTGCTGTGTCTGTAAGTGTGTTTTGGAATGCCAGCATATTTATGCGTTTTCTAGTATGTTCACATATCTGCTAGTGTTTGTGCGTCTGCTAATACTGGTAAGGAAGGATTGGTTTACTTGCTTTGTCTCCTGCTATATATATATATATATATATATATATATATATATATATATATATATATATATATATATATATATATATATATATATATATATATATATTATTAAATATGACCGAAAAAGTAAGATTAATAATTCTAACACGAATTTTCTCAATCTTTCGTACATTACGCTTCACTGTTGGAGGTAAATCAAAAATCACTTCTCCAAAATTCATTTTTATTTCTAGTCTGACGCGACACGGGCGCGTTTCGTAAAACTTATTACATTTTCAAAGACTTCACAAATACACAACTGATTAGAACTTACGTATCTCTGATTTTATATCTACATTTGAGTGAGGTGGGAGGGGTGATGTGGCATTAACACAAGACAGAACAAGAGGGGATATTAATAGGGTATTAAAAGTATCAACACAAGACAGAACAGAAACAATGGGTATTGAATAGAAGTGTTTGTAGAAAGCCTATTGGTCCATATTTCTTGATGCTTCTATATTGGAGCGGAGTCTTGAGGTGGGTAGAATATAGTTGTGCAACACAACTATATTCTACCCACCTCAAGACTCCGCTCCAATATAGAAGCATCAAGAAATATGGACCAATAGGCTTTCTACAAGCACTTCTATTCAATACCCATTGTTTCTGTTCTGTCTTGTGTTGATACTTTTAATATCCTATTAATATCCCCTCTTGTTCTGTCTTGTGTTAATGTCACATCACCCCTCCCACCTCACTCAAATGTAGATATAAAATCAGAGATACGTAAGTTCTAATCAGTTGTGTATTTGTGAAGTCTTTGAAAATGTAATAAGTTTTACGAAACGCGCCCGTGTCGCGTCAGACTAGAAATAAAAATGAATTTTGGAGAAGTGATTTTTGATTTACCTCCAACAGTGAAGCGTAATGTACGAAAGATTGAGAAAATTCGTGTTAGAATTATTAATCTTACTTTTTCGGTCATATTTAATAATATATGTCTACAGGAAAGACTGCTACCAAAATATACTAATATATATATATATATATATATATATATATATATATATATATATATATATATATATATATATATAAATAAAAGCCATATACAAAGAGCCGCAGCTCAACCCTCGCAAGCACCACTAGGTGAGTACTCTGTCACACACACTCCCTCGGAAGCACACGCTCTCTCAACCACACACACACACACACACACACACATCCTCAGTGCCACAGACCATTGAAATCCTCAGATTAGGCAAAATTGTAATTAAATTTTATCAATAAAGTTATTAATAATAATAATCCCTCACAGCTACACTCGGCCACATTCCACCTCTGCAATACTCTGCAACAAAAACATCATGCGGGATTACTTCAGTGGCAGGAGACTACTTGCTCGCTGACCTAAAAACCTTAAGTCTACAAGTAGGAATGGAGAAGCTTTATTTTTAGCCAGTCTGGTTATGTTAGCCCAAGGTTCGTTGGTCTGCTCCAGAGTCCTGCGCTCTGTCTCTCTCTTTCTCTCTCTCTCTCTCTCTCTCTCTCTCTCTCTCTCTCTCTCTCTCTCTCTCTCTCTCTCTATCTTCTTTTTCGTCCCACACTCTCATCGTTATAATTCTCCTCGCAGTCTTGAAGGTCCATTAATTCTCAGTGAATGAGTGTGTGGGTTTGTCATGATACTCGCGCCAAGATCCTTCTTGTTCTCTGCTGGGCTGTGCATCAAAGCCTCGGCTCCCTTCCTCCCTGTGATGGGCCAAACACTGAGGCTTTTAACACCTACTTTCCTCTTCTGTTTGGGAAACATTCCTAACCAAGTTCGAGTAAGTTCAGGTGTTGAGACGAGGTAGGACGAGGCCTGGGAATGCCTCCCATTGTGTGTAATCAGCTAGTTGTGGTTGCGGGGGTTGAGCTCTGGCTCTTTGGTCTCGTGTCTCAATTGTCAAGCAACTGAGGTACAGATTCTGGAGCCAACTGGGCTCTTATCATATCTACATTTGAAACTGTGTATGGAGTTTGCCTCCACCACATCACTGCCTAATGCAATTCCATTCGCAACTATCACAGTGAAACAAATTGTGTGTGATTTGTGTGCGTGTGCGAACTCATTTGTTCTCGCCTATGTGTGCCTTCAGGATCGGGCATTACCTCTTGGACCCCGATTTTCCATTCGACGATTTTCTAATGCAATAACCCCTAATCTATTTCCCTATCATATATAGTTTTAAAATTATGAATGTAGTTTCTTCTTTAACCTGCTTCTGTTAGTTCTAGACAATTTAACAGGGATAATACACGAAAAAAGATACACAGATGGAATTTAAGTACCCAAATGAACCACTGAGACATTAGAAAGTGTTTTATGTGTCAGAGTAGTGAGCAAATGGAACGCATTAGGAAGTGTTGTAGTGGAGGCAGACTCCATACACACATTCTAATGTAGCTGTACCTGGGATGTATAAACTCTAGAGCCTGCTGATTAAGAGTTGAGAGGAGGGGCCCAAGAGCCTTGGCTCAACCCCCTCCTGCAAATGCAACTTGATGGACACACACACAATCAGTTGATTGACAGTTGAGAGGCGGGACCAAAGAGCCAGAGCTCAACGCCCGCAAGCACATTAGGTGAGTACAAACACACACACACACACACACACACACACACACACACACACACACACACACACACACACACATTGGGGCCTCGTAGCCTGGTGGATAGCGCGCAGGATTCGTAATTCTGTGGCGCGGGTTCGATTCCCGCACGAGGCAGAAACAAATGGGCAAAGTTTCTTTCACCCTGAATGCCCCTGTTACCTAGCAGTAAATAGGTACCTGGGAGTTAGTCAGCTGTCACGGGCTGCTTCCTGGTGTGTGTGTGTGTGTGTGTGTGTGGTGTGGAAAAAAAAATAGTAGTTAGTAAACAGTTGACTGACAGCTGAGAGGCGGGCCGAAAGAGCAAAGCTCAACCCCCGCAAACACAGCTAGGTGAATACACACACACAAGGGGAACACGCACAAGGGGACACAGGTGGTAACTGAGTGCCCAAATGAGCCACAGAGATATTAGAAAGAACTTTTTTAGTGTCAGAGTGGTTGACAAATGGAATGCATTAGAAAGTGATGTGGTGGAGGCTGACTCCATACACAGTTTCAAGTGCAGATATGATAGAGCCCAGTAGGCTCATTAATCTGTACACCTGTTGATTGACAGTTGAGAGGCGGGACCAAAGAGCCAGAGCTCAACCCCCGCAAACACAACTAGGTGAGTACACACACAAAACTAATAACACTATAGATAAAAATGAATGGGAATCCCTGAACGATTTTCATAATTGGTGTCGGTATGCGAACAGTGACCTGTAACTATCATATTTTTACTACACACACATTTATTATTTTACCAGCTGTTGTCGATATAACACGGTCCAGTGCTTTCTTGTATTTATGGTTCATCTAACTTGTAACTTGTATGCTTGAAATAGTCTTTCATAATTCGTTTTTTTCTCTCTATTTTATATTTTTTTTTTTTTGCTAAAGAGAATGGTGAGTTAGCTATATCGACTACCGAATAATCCTATCTAGCCTGTATCACTATGACAGTATTCACTATAAGGTTAGATATCACTAGGGGGCCTCGTAGCCTGGTGGATAGCGCGCAGGACTCGTAATTCTGTGGCGCGGGTTCGATTCCCGCACGAGGCAGAAACAAATAGGCAAAGTTTCTTTCACCCTGAATGCCCCTGTTACCTAGCAGTAAATAGGTACCTGGGTGTTAGTCAGCTGTCACGGGCTGCTTCCTGGGGGTGGAGGCCTGGTCAAGGACCGGGCCGCGGGGACACTAAAGCCCCGAAATCAACTCAAGATAAGATAACCTCAAGATACTAAATCCTGTATTCAGATTATTTTGTCACAACATCTAACGAGTATATCCAAACGCTGAGCTCCGCTTTCATCATACTTGGCCATGATTTAACTTTCTAACAGTTACAAACAACAGCTAAGATATACCGTTAACAGTTTACCAAATAACAGTTAATACAGCACAAACTTTTAGATTCCGTAAACACAATACAAAAAGCAGGCGATGAGGCACAATAACGTGGCTGAAGAATGTTGACCAGACCACACACTAGAAGGTGAAGGGACGACGACGTTTCGGTCCGTCCTGGACCATTCTCAAGTCGATCGACTTGAGAATGGTCCAGGACGGACCGCAACGTCGTCGTCCCTTCACTTTCTAGTGTGTGGTCTGGTCAACACAATACAAAACTTGTCCTAATGTTCGCAAAACAATGATAGTTCAGACCATCAACATGTCTTGCAGGAGCTGGAGTGTGGGTCTCGGTACCATGTGTATGTAGTGGCCCACAACAGTGTGGGTTCGAGCCCAGCCAGCACCACAGCGGTAGTGAGAACCCTGGGGGGCGCCCCACAGCCCCCGCCCTCCCTACAGTTCCTCACCGCCAACTCCTCCAGCGTGACGGTGTTCCCGAGGGCGTGGGTGGCCAGGGGCTGCCCCATCACCCACATGGTCCTCGAGTACCGCCAACGGGACGACCCACATTGGGTCCAAGGTAAGACACAGGCAGATAGACGGTGATACAGACAGTCAGAGAGAGAGAGAGAGAGAGAGAGAGAGAGAGAGAGAGAGAGAGAGAGAGAGAGAGAGAGAGAGAGAGAGAGAGAGAGAGAGAGAGAGAGAGAGAGAGACAGACAGACAGTAGAAGAGAGACAGATATATGCCTCCAAACCTAACAAAAAAGTTACCATAAAAACATAGAAAATCTAAAAATTATAATTCTGAATAATATGATTGGCTTGTCAATGCAAATTTACGTCAAATGGCTTCCAAAGAATTCCGGCTTTCAATTTTGAATCATTTTTCCAATAACTCGACTGTGACCATTTTTTTCTATTTTAATATATATATATTTATTTATTTTTTAAATTCATCTAACCGAACGTGTTTACCAGAAATGAAAATCCCTTTAAGCCAATCAGAGAGTAAAGCTGCTTCTCTTCCCCCCTGGTGCCTCTCTCTGTGGCGAGGCAGTCTCCAGTGGCGACCCCCAAGCGAGGAGAGTGGAGATCGGGGGCATGGTCCCATCTACACCCTACGCCCTCAGGGTGACGGCGGTGGCCAGCGCCGGCTCCACCACCCACACTTACACCTTCACCACCCTCACCGCCACGGGAGGCGAGTATACCTCGCTCGTTCTTCAGAAATCTTTCCAAGTCCAAAAGGTCTAAGTTTTAGTCTAAATAGAGGTGTAAGTAATCTAACAGTGTTGGCTACTCCATGGTCTTCCTCCTGACCCAACCTCGACGTGGCGCCTGCCTCTGCAGACCAGCATCTTCATGGAAGAACTTTTTATATAATTGTATATACTTTGCGTCATCTGCTTTCTCAGCTTAAACATTCCTTTATCATTGTGGTTGACTCTCGCTGTGTCCTCATTCCTCTGTTGAAGGGAATCCAATATTGGCCATTTCTTGTAACCTTTTAAGATGTATTTTATAGTCTCGATAAACGTACTTGGACTTGGGTAAAGCTGATGTATTGGTTCAGTGTTGGTGGGTACCCAATTATATTGGAGTTAGCGCGAATGAACTTGCGGAGGGTGTTGCTATGGAGGAAATCCATGCTTTGCAGCATTTCCCGGAAAGGGATTCCCAATTTGGATTTCTACCCGGACATTCAGTCTGCTATCCGCGACCGACGTAAGGGGTCGTTAGGTTGGCATTATATGTAATGAACTGTGTGCTCTTAATCTTTCCCCCTTGGTCTTCCTCCTTCCACCGTAATAGGCGATGAGAAAACGGCTTCAGCCTGATTACGTACCGTTCACACGCATTTAACTATTAGTCACTGATGGGAACAACGAGTCCTGCTCCCTTGTGTCCAAACTTCATTGTTCCACTTAAAGTCGAGCGCCTCCTTGCAGAAAGTTCCGATTTTCGTGATAGTCTTGTTCTCCCACTGTCCCCCGAGGGGTCGTTTAACTCGATAGAATGTTGACCAATCCACACTAGAAAATGAAGGGACGACGACGTTTCGGTCCGTCCTAGACCATTCTCAAGTCGAAAGTGAATTCACAATCGACTTGAGAATGATCCAGGACGGACCGAAACGTCGTCGTCCCTTCATTTTCTAGTGTGTGGTTTAGTCAACATACTTGAGCCACGTTATTGTGACTCCTCGCCTCAATAGAATTCTTGTTAAATCAGACACCTTTGATTTCGTCTTATGTCCTTCTGCTCGTATCTTGATTGATATTTCGAGCTGCACAGTCTTGCTGGCTTGGTTTCTTCTTTTGACAATTACTTCAAGTAATATATTGAGGAATGTATTCACTAGTTGTTGTGGATCTTTACTTTAATATAGTACTGTTATTTTTGTGCATATATATATAATAGTATAGTTATTCATATAGGAAATGCATAACTGATATAATCACATACAAACACCACAGTGTTGTTGTAGGTGAAACTTGAGACCTAGAGGAATAGACGAAGTTGGACACTTGCCACTGATCTCCTCTACAGCTTCACTTGGCCCCCCCTTAGTCTCCTCTACAGCTTCACTTGCCCCCCTAGTCTCCTCTACAGCTTCACTTGCCCCCCCTAGTCTCCTCTACAGCTTCACTTCCCCCCCTAGTCTCCTCTACAGCTTCACTTCCCCCCCTAGTCTCCTCTACAGCTTCACTTGCCCCCCCTAGTCTCCTCTACAGCTTCACTTGGCCCCCCTAGTCTCCTCTACAGCTTCACTTGCCCCCCTAGTCTCCTCTACAGCTTCACTTGCCCCCCTAGTCTCCTCTACAGCTTCACTTCCCCCCCTAGTCTCCTCTACAGCTTCACTTGCCCCCCCTAGTCTCCTCTACAGCTTCACTTGGCCCCCCCCCTAGTCTCCTCTACAGCTTCACTTGCCCCCCCCAGTCTCCTCTACAGCTTCACTTGCCCCCCCCTAGTCTCCTCTACAGCTTCACTTGCCCCTGGGAAATATTCCCTACAGCTTCACTTGCCCCTGGGAAATATTCCATACTGCTTCACTGCCACATTCTCTTCCTTTATAACAGCCAATCAAAAGTTTCCACTTTTTTTTCTAGAATCCAGTTATTCTTGCTATTTTTATTTTCATTTCATCTCGCCAATATTCTGCGTTCTTTTAAATTGAATTCTGGTCACGTTGTTATCAATATATTGTACACGTATATCAGCGGGCGCGCGCGCGCTCACACGCACGCACACGCACACACACACACACACACACACACACACACACACACACACACACATATATATATATATATATATATATATATATATATATATATATATATATATATATATATATATATATATATAATATATATTTGTAAATATTATGTTCCATTTGAAACTTGATTCCATAAAATGGGTTACAACAATGGTTACATTCAAGGTACGAAGTTATACATTGGTTTCATGCAGTGTGTGTGTCATTCAGCTGTGAAATGTCAGCGTCATTGTAATTGTTGACCTCATGCTTATGTTTACTACGCTCGCAGTTGGCTTCGAGGTATTATTTCTCTGTAGATTATTCCTTGAAGCATTCGGCTCCCCCTCCCCCCCTGGGGGTCCAGAACACTCTTGTTCTGGTTCACTCTTGCTGAGGTTCACTCTTGCTGAGGTTCACTATTGCTGAGGTTCACTCTTGCTGAGGTTCACTTTGGCCACATGTTTTTCTGTTGTTGTTTTTGCCACGTGTTATTCCGTAGTCGGGGATCCCAAATACCACAAATTTCGTTCATTAACCCAGTTTACTAACGTAATAATATCGTTAAACATCTATTTGTTCTACTTTTCACCCAGTAATTGCGTAATAGTGAAGGTCAACACATTATTTTCTGCACTAAAGCCAGTTTCGTTATTGCTCTCACAAAGTCCTTTCCCTGATTGAGATCCTGGTGCGTTTCTCTTGCCAAAATTATCGCCATGTAACTCTCCATTTCAAACACGTATACACATTCGTGTATAGTTCCGTAATTTGGGTATTCATGGTAGGTTGTTCTATTTTTATGTGGATTGCAATCGATTTTGTGACTACGCAATCCACATAAAAATAGAACAACCTACCATGAATACCCAAATTACGGAACTATTTACTCTACTCACCATGAGAGTAAGAACAAGACCGGAACACACACACACACACACACACACACACACACACACACACACACACACACACACACACACACACACACATATATATATATATATATATATATATATATATATATATATATATATATATATATATATATATATATATATATATATAATAATTATATACTAGCAATTATATTCCGTAAATTTTAAAGCATTATTGAACTCCTGTACACTAGTGGTGAACTCCTGTACACTCCTGTACACCTTTGTGGTGAGTGGTAGTGATGTGTTGGTTGGTGTACAGAGCTGCCGCCGGCGTGGTCGGGCAAGGCGTCTCCTCAGTGGCTCTCCGTCAGGGTGCTGCTGCCTCTCCTGTCTTCCGTCGTCGCCCTGGCCTCCTCCCTCGCCCTCGTCTGCTACTGTGTCAGGAGGAGTAAGCTTCATTACATTGTTGTACTTGCTGAAATGTACAGTTCCTCTTAAGCTGTTGAATTGTAACGACTGTTCTGTGAGTGTTTTTAGCTATGGAACGAGATGACTTGTTCAGTATGTGTTTTCTCATTACTTGCAGAGACTTCTCCGTCAGGAGGCGGTGACGGAGACACGGAAGGAGGTAGCGAGGGCACAGGGCGCAGCGCCAACACCGCGGCCCGCGACAATAAACATAACCTGGCGCAGCGGGAGCAGTACTACGCCACCATCAGGAAAGCAGCGCCAAGAGACCAGCAGAGCGACCTGATACCCGGTGGGTGAAAGCAAGCCCGAGCTGCCATTTGTGCTTCCATCCTTCGCCCTCTCCTGCTGTAGGCAGCTGTTCTCAGTGTCACTTACGTTTGATACTATCTTAAGCTCTTCCAATCGTCCAATATGACTGACGTCAATGTTTCCTTCTTGATGTTCATTATCCTCTTCGTCAGCAGCTCCGTCAGGAAGGTGTTCATATAGTCAGGGTTAGTTTGTTTACTCTTAAGCCAAACCCGAGACGTTGCTCCTGACTAAGATGCCCCACTCCCTCCCTCTCAACAGAGAACGCAGAGGACATCTACCCGTACGCCACCTTCCAGCTACCCGACCCGGCGCCCCCAGATCCAAACCACATCCCCATGTATCCGATTTACCAGACCCGCACAGATAAGGTCCGTACCCGAGTCGTACTGTGTGTTAATGCTCGTCTTGTGAGCTCTGAGGCACCTAGTGTGTTGTAGTTTGTGTTGTTCTCCTCTGGGAGGTCTCAGGCCGTCCACACCTCAAGGTAAGTTGACTCATGTGCAGACGAGGAGTCACAGTACGTGGCTGAAATATGTTGACCAAACCACACACTAGAAAGTGAAGAGACGACGTTTCGGTCCATCCTGGACCATTCTCAAATCTCACAATCGACCTGAGAATGGTCCAGGATGGACCGGAACGTCGTCGTCTCTTCACTTTCTAGTGTGTGGTTTGGTCAACTTGGGTCATATAGTGAGCCACAGTAGTGCGACACTTCAGGTTTAATAAAGGCAGATACATTTTTCGAAAACAAAAAAATACAATTTTTAAGATGTCATTTTGTAAAGGAGAATTAAATGCTTTCTTAAATGACTTTCTAGATGTTAACAGGCAGAAATGTTCTGGCTATACCAGTCTGCCAGTTTGTTTCTGACAGTCTGCTGACTGCACCAGTAACCTGACTGTAGCACACAGCAGTTACGTAGCATACGTTGTGTCCCAAATTCCCTCCCTCGGTTCGGGCCTACCATGATGAATTGGGGGGCATATATCAGAGTTAACAATCAATATGTACACATACACAGATCTATTTGGATCTAACGAGTGACGTCATGAGGTAATCGAGCAATCAGCCACCTTTAATGGTTGTCATTAGTCATATGACAGCCACTCAAACAACCAGGTCGGTGGTATTAGGTCGTCCCATGACCAGACCACACACTGGGGGCTCCCTCGGTGTGGGTAGCAACCTGGGATGTAGGGAAATACCCGTGTGTGTTAGGGAGAATAACCTGGAGGCTTGGGGCTAGGGAATTTTATTTGGAGTATTAGGAGTGTAACCTGGGGTGTTGTGGAAGAGTTTCTTGCAGATGGTGATGCCTAAATAAGGAACGGGAGTATAATAACCAAATTTATTAGTCTATTTACCACTGATGCATGTCGCTAAAAGAAGCGTTTCGTTAATGTACGCCTCAGAATCCTTAGACAAAAGCGGAAGGTATAGTGCACAGTAACAGGCACAGCCATGAATGCTAGGCAGGCTTGGAGAGGATGAAGGGATGATGACCAAGCCACATTGTCAGAAAAGGAAGAAAACACGTTTCGGACCGTCTTAGACCATTAACAAGTCGTGTACTGAGAAAACGTCGTTGTTTCTCTGTTTTCTGGTGTATGGTTTTGTCATCTTCATCCAAGTAAATGTGCATCATCGTCTCCATAATGATATATTAATTTACCTAAGTTTCATAATTTGGCAGTGTACGAAAATATATATCAGTTCATTCGTCTTTTGGACACCAACATCCCGTAGACACGAAAAGACATCCCATAGACACAGAAGGACCTTCTATAGACATGGAGGGACTTCCCATAGACATTGAGGGACATCGCATAGACACCAACATCCCATATAGACACGCGGGGACATCCTTGGTGTGTGAACACCACGAGCCATACAGAACCACGGTGCCTAATCTGGCTAACGTAGAAGCCTACACTATAAAAATCGTTCAGTGTGTATACCTCTATCCGTCGGATTACAACATTTAATGATTTACAGCTTTTAATTAATATATCAAAGCCCATGTGAATTTTTTTTTATCGCAAAATGTCAGGTTTATGGGTTTTATAATGAGACCATTTTTTCCACCCATAATCCCTAAAATTATTATTTATATTTATTATATTTATTAATTCGCCGCGGCTGTGATATTCAGCCATCAGATTGCGAATCTTTGATGTTGTGAATATTTGCCTCGGCGATACGACTCATAACGTTGAATATTTTATGTTCCAAATAGTGGAGTTTCTCATTTTAGTCAAAGTTGTTCACACTTTCATACTTACACTACACGGGGACTCCTGCTGCCGCAGAGGCACTCTCACACAGGCACTCAAATTGTCCCATATAACACTCACACATCTCACGAAGGCACTCAAATTGTCCCATATAATACTACCAATCACACAAATATTGATTGTATAGCAAACAAGCTAAAGGAATTATAGGAGATGCAACTGAACATTATCAAACTTACAGACATCAAACTTCAACATAGTTGATGTAGTCTTTGTAAGGGGCTGCCAATTAGTCAGAGACGAAAGAAACAGGAATGAGGGGAAACGACATTGGTGCCAGCCATAGCTATGTTGGGAACACGAACGACCACTCAGATGCGCATTTCGTCTTGGTTTCGACAACCTGCTTGTTAACTGGGTTGATCCAAAGTGTAGGGACTGTTACTGGTTCAGTGGTTCCGTCTGTCTATCCAGTTTATTATCAGTTTTCTTGCAAATATGGAACGGCTGTATACGATCTGGTTGGGCAACTGGAATTGCATATGGGTTGCGACTTGGTTGGTAGTGTAGCAATCAATAGCTTGAAGACTATCAGAAAATCCAGCAGCACTGGCATCCATATAGCTTATGGACTCCAGTACTACTCGTTAAGTGAGCTGGAGTCTTACAGCTGAGCAAAGAATCCTGTTCATTACCCAACACCATGACATGTAAGGTTAAACGTTGCAGTCTTTGACGTAATCTATCCAGTGAAGGTTGCAGACACTGCCAAGACCCCCTTCGAATCATTCGCAGAAGCATTATCATCATATTTCTGAAGCTATGAAGCTGAAGCTATAAGCTATTGCACAAACGTTTCGTAGTGACACTCTGCAGTGGTGTCAGTGTTTGATACAGTGACGATGAGAACTCTGAGATAAATACTTTGCAGCGTGGGGAGGGTGATGGAAAGGGAGAGGTAAGTGGGAGTTAGAGAATGGGGGAGCCAATGACAATCATGGGGTAAAGGAATGGATACCATCACTAACAGCAGCAGATGCCCAATTTACTTGAATCAATGATTAGTTATATGCAAACAAGGAGTCACAATAACGTGGCTGAAATATGCTGACCGGACCACACACTAGAAAGTGAAGGGACGACGACGTTTTCAGTCCGTCCTGGACCATTCTCAAGTCGATTCGATATATGGGGTCTGTGCTGAACGTGATATATATATATATATATATATATATATATATATATATATATATATATATATATATATATATATATATATATATATAACATATCATGGGCAGTGAATAAACTGTAAGCTTTACAAAAGCATAATGTAGCAGCATGTGGTGTCGCCTGCCTGTGATTCATATCATGGGAGAGTCGACAAGCGAACACTCATTGTGGTAACATCTTAAGGTCATAATTCAGCTCAAAACGCATTAAAGATTTTCCCCAGGCAAGCCACATATCTTGTACCTCATTGGGCCATTTCCCCCAACATGCGAGGGCTGCGTGTCCCTGTACCGGGGGGGAAGAGGAGGGTGTGTACAGTATCGCCCTGTTGAGCTACAGGGCGGTACCCATGGGTTCCGTACTGCTCTGCAGAGTGAAGGTGTTCCGTCTCCCATATAGGTACCAAGTAGAGTGAATATAACGTATCCAAGAGTTGTGACACTGACCATTCAGTATAGAGAATGTGGCGAGTTTTAGATCGATGGCACTCGGCTGGTACCATAGAGAAAATGACCGTTTAGGACGACTGGCACCATAGTGAAGATGACCTGGTCCAGGACGGCTGGCACCATAGTGAAGATGACCTGGTCCAGGACGACTGGCACCATAGTGAAGATGACCTGGTCCAGGACGACTGGCACCATAGTGAAGATGACCTGGTCCAGGACGGCTGGCACCATAGTGAAGATGACCTGGTCCAGGACGACTGAACTAGGTCATCGCCCCCTCGGTCAGTCACAATAAACCGGCTTCACATTACACCAAAATTCCCCGACAGGAACCGTGTAATTTCGATAGGAAATATCTCAAGAATATTAATGAAAAATATTGTTAATATTCTATTGATAAATTTGCGATTTGCATACTATTGTCGCTTGTTGCTCTCCAGTATGGTAATTACTAACCTATTGAATAGGGCTGCTTAAAGCTGCTGTACGAGCGATAAATATTTGAATATAGATCCGAAGCGAAGATTAAATGTTAAAACAACATAAGCCACTGAAATACGCCACACAAGCCACTGAAATACGCCACACGTGCCACTGAAATACGCCACACGTGCCACTGAAATACGCCACACGGGCCACTGAAATACGCCACACGTGCCACTGAAATACGCGACACGGGCCCCTGGAATACGCGACACGGGCCCCTGGAATACGCGACACGGGCCCCTGGAATACGCGACACGGGCCCCTGGAATACGCGACACGGGCCCCTGGAATACGCGACACGCGCCACTGGAATACGCGACACGCGCCACTGGAATACGCGACACGGGCCCCTGGAATACGCGACACGCGCCACTGGAATACGCGACACGCGCCACTGGAATACGCGACACGCGCCACTGGAATACGCGACACGGGCCCCTGGAATACGCGACACGCGCCACTGGAATACGCGACACGCGCCACTGGAATACGCGACACGCGCCACTGGAACACGCGACACATTACATGTGGTTGGAAATATTACCTTGCACTCCTCAGCGTGGTAATTTTTAGCTAGCTATATAATAAGGGTGGAAACGTTAGTGCTCTTCTCCCCCGGTTATTTATTTTTGTATACAAAAGCCTCTTTGATGTTTCGACTCCGCATTCATACTTATGAAATGTGAAATTGACTTTACTGGGTGCATACACTTCGAACCTTTCATGTAGAGTGTATAGCCACCAACTCGCCCCACATGCTTGACCTTAACAATACGTTCGTAGGATGTTCTCGTTGCTCGTACTCGTCTAGATGTACTCGCATAGATGTACTCAAGATACACTTACCAACGTGACTTCCTTCCAATATTGTACTTATATTTGCTTTTGAAGGTGCTAATTGATTTACTTTCCACAGTCTGTATCTCATTACATTTTTAACTTTATGTAAAAGTCTTCATGAT